CTTCGTTTCAACTTTTTATTACATTACAATTTCATCATGTACAATGTATTGTGTTCAGATATTAGTTTTGATACATAATCCTAATTTATTAAAACACAAATTAGTATATATCATGTTCATAGTTATGTATTTGATACATAACTATTACAAATTTCGTTAACTTTTACTACCAGATACATATACCCATATTTATTCAACTAGAAGGCTATATATAAACACTAATGTTTTATAACAATACCAATTTGTATCATATTCATAATTATGTATATGACACATAACTTTGTTATGTATCACATGTTGTTATGTATATGCAACACTGTTTTATAACTAAATTAGTGTGTATCATATTTATAAAAGGGCCTTATATACCTCTCAATTTTGTCATTTGGAGTTGATATGTCCCTCGTTATGAAAGTGGCTCATATATACCCTTACCGTTATACAAACAGCTCACATATACCCCTACCATTACAAAATGAGCTCACATATACCCTACATTTAACAGAAGTGAAAATTTTAGTTTTAAATTTATATTTTTGACTTTTATTTTTTTTAAATCATTTAGGGATATATATGATTCTTCTAGCAAAGTTCATGGAGTATTTTAATCTTTTTCATACATAAATTATTATTTTGACTTCTTTGATTATCATTATTTGTAGTTTCTTTATTCTTATTTTTATTTTTTTCTTTCATTCCTTAGTGTAAAAGAAAAAAAGTTTAAAACTATTTTTTTGTGGCTATATTATAATTTAAAACTATTTTTTTGGCTATATTGTAATTTAATTTTTGTATTTGAAGAAAAAAATTGGGTCGTCTATAATAAATTTTTGAAGAATATTAGTGAAACATAAATAAATTTGACCATCAAAATAATAAATCTAAATTAGTCATTGAAACAAAAAAAAAAGTAAAAAAAAATATGTTTGAGGAGGATTAAATATACCCATATGAGATTATATTTTTTTTAAAATAAATAATTAAAAAATTAAACTAAAATTAATTTTTTTTCACTTACGTTAGAGAAAAAGGGTATATGTGAGTCATTTGTATATAAGTAGGGATATATATGAGTCACTTTCATAACAAGAGATATATCAGCTCTAAATGACAAAGTTGAGGGGTATATCAGACCCTTTTCCCTAATTTTTTTTGTATATGATACATAACATTGTCAAATTAGTCATGTATCAGATGTTATGTCAGTCCTTCGAGTAACATTTTAAGGAATAGTTGCACCAATTGTTTAACACATGTATATCAAATTCATCAAATTTCAGACTTTATTGTATGTATCAGATACATATCAACTAACCACAATGTTATGTAGCAATCACAAAAAATGCTATTGAGAACAATTACATGTATAATATATCTCTTATAAACTACAATATTTTTTTCAATTAGAATAAGATACATAAATAATGCATAATTTTATGGTCATGATACATAAATAGTAATGTATAGTCAATGTCGAAGGAGGAGGAAAACACCATAGAGACGACGATAACGACACGAAGGGAGAGGCTGAGATCCCTTAGAGAAGCTCAAGAACTTCTTCAAACCCCTGACAATGATAGTCATAAGGCTAACAAAGATATTCATGATGTATCTTGATTTTAATTATACTATTAACTAAATGAAAAATATATTTACTTTAAAATTTGGAAAAATCACAGAAATCCCACATTTTAGTTTACTTATTACCATTATCCCCTATAAGTTTTACAAATTTCCAAAATCCCTCATTTTCGCGCATTAGATTAATGTATCTCGCCCATCAGATTAATGTATCAGCAACTTATATTATTGTATCTCGCGTATCAGATTAGCGTATCATGTATAAAATGTACATCAGATGAGTGTATCATGTATAAAATGTAATGTATCTTACTTAACGATTAATGTATCTCGCGCATCTTAATGTATCAACGCTTATATTATTGTATCCGTTTGAGGGATTTCTGTAATTATAAACTTTTAAGTGATAGATTGTACTTTTGCCTTAAAAGTATGTGATTTCTGTAATTTGTCCTTAAAATTTTATACCAAAATACTTTACTTAATCTTTTCAATTGAATGACTCTTTAAGGCTAGAAATAATTTTTTCGACTGTTTGTGGCTTCTAGTAGCTCTTTTAATATTTGTAAATAAAATAAAATTATGTGAACAAGCATTGTAGAATTTATTTTTCGATAAATTATAAAATGTAATAGTATTTGATAGAAAATAGAAAACTAGTTGAGAGCATAATATATTTTTTCCTGATAAAGTAATGTAATAGCAATTTGATAAAAACTTGTAAATGTGGGAAAGAAATATTAATAATTTGCTAAATTGTTTCGTTAAAAATTATAAATTATAATAATAATAATTATTATTTGTTTCATCTTGTATGTGAAATAGATAATTTTATGATTGTGAAAATTTGTGTTTTAATATTAATTATAACAAAATGTGGGATATATATTTAATTTCAAAATTTATATGGAGATAATTCATTATATTCTTTCAATTAAATGACTCATTGGGCAATGAACAAACTTTGGTCGTTAAAGATTTTTAATAGTGCCTTTTATATTTGTAAAAATGAAATACTATGAATAGACATTTTATAAATTACTTTTAAGAAAATGCGATTATAATTTGATGAATAACAATGAATGTGGAGAGGAAGACTACTAATAATAGAGATTGAGTTGGTTAGTTCAAAATCATGATTATACTAGTATGATGTTCGTGATATTTTGACTATTATATGATTTTATTGTTGTTTTAGCTATTTTTTCATTGTTTCTTGATTTTGCTTTTCTTGGTTGTCTTCTTCTTTTTATATATCGAGATTTATTATACTTGAGTCGAGAGTTTTTTAAAAATAATCTCTTTATCTTTATGAAGTAGAGGTAAGATCTGCATACACCTCACTTGTGGAATTTCACTGGATATACTGTTACTATATTAAATAAATAATTCTATAATTGTAATTTAATTTTTATTTTGATTTTACCTGTATCTACAATTAAATTTATAACATATTTAATTTCAAATTTGATATCAATCTAACCTACTTAACTCTTTCAGGTTCTACTTAACGTTTTATCAACTGAACCCTTAAACTTAATAAATCACGATATATTGAACCCCTCTGACCGTTGACCAAGCATATGTGGCATTAAAATGACTGAGTTGGCAAGAGTGTGTGATTACACTCGCGTGTAAGCAAGTAAACATCATATCTGAATTAAAAAGAGTTATTAAAATTACAAAAAAAATAAAAAATATAAATTTAACAAAAAAATAAATCTTCTTCTTCCCCATTTCACCTTTTTTTCAGATAACCCAATCCCTGCCCCTAATCCCTTATCTCTTTCTTCTCTACACTCTAGCAGAGATCTTGACACTAATCCATTTTTCACTAGTACGAGAGGCGACAATGAGGTTCGTTTGTGGCCGGAGAGAATCGAGAGGAGAGGCAGTCTTGGTTTGCTGGTGGTGCGGTGAAAGGAAGATAATGGAGGAGACGAGGTGGGTGAGGGTGAGAGGAGTTGGTCACAACGGCGAAAAGGTTTGCCGGCCAAAGCTGGTAATGCGGTGACCTAAGGTTGCTGATTTTGTGAGATTGAAAAAGGAGGAAAGGAAAATGGTAAGTGTGTGCGGCAGAGATAGAGACGGGTGTGTGTGAGAGAGAATAGATTGTGCTAGCAAGAAGAGTTGCGGCGACGACTTTCTAATCTGGTGGCTTGAGGCAATTTCATGGCGGAAATAGGTTGGGGAGAAGAAGATGGTTGGTGATTTGGTGCCTGGAATCCCAAAATTTATTTTAATGAATAAATTAAAATTTTATTATTTTTCCTTTCATTTAATATTTTTGATTAATAATTAAAAAATATAGTTAATGGAGATAATTATGACATGTCATTGATTTATGTGACATGGATTTGACATGTCATCTATTTATGGGCGAGTGAATTACACACATGGTAGGAGGGGTTTAAAAAATTTATTTTGATTGAGTTTAATGGTTCAGTTGATAAGTAGTTAAGTAGAAGGATCTACAATACAAATTCAAACAAGTATAAGGGTCCACCAGACCATTTTGCCATTTTTTTTCAATAGTTCCTTTAATATTTCTAAATGAAAAAACCGCACAAACAAATATTCCATGAATTAGTTTTCTATAAATTATGAAATGTAATTGTAATTTGATAAAAAATAATGAATGTGAAAAGAAAGAGACAATAATCGACTAAGGTGTCTGATCTAAAATCAGAATTATAATTTGAATTCTCTATTTCACCTTTTATATGAGATTAATAATCTTATAATTGTAATATAAATTTTATTTTGATTTTTAATTGTACCCTAAATTAAATACAAAATATATTTTATTTTAAAATTTATATCAATTACGTACTTAATTTTTTACTAGACGATTTTTAAAATTAGAAAGAACTTTTTTTATCGTCAACTTTTTTAGTAGTTTCTTTAATATTTATAAATAAAATGGTATAAACAGATATGCTAGATATTATATTTTAACAAATTATGATATATAATACGTAATTTATAAATTACACCGAATTAATTAGGAGCACACTCACACAATTGAATGTAGATATCATAAAAGCGAGATACGAGGATACGTTTCACCATCTCTTTTATGTCTTGGATAAATTTCTTTCGTGTCTGCAGGTCGAGAAATCATCTTTCTGTTTTTGAAGAAAAACAAAACAATCAAAGAATGAACCAACTCACATAATAACCTCTTTCACTCGTAAAACTACTTATCTATGTTATTTATTATGATGACGACAACAACAATAACAACAATAACATATATATGATCTTATGAGGTCCGAAAATGGCGAAATAATATATCGAAAATGGTGAAATGTATGTAGACCTTCATCTTATCTTTATTTCGAACCCAATATTAGAAAAAGGAAAAATGAATAGACACGTGACAATCTCCACCTCTATAAAACCCTCAATTATCTTCCTTCTCCTCACTAAATTTCCCGCAACTGCAAAAACTTAACCTAAAACCCTAAAATACTCTTAGCAGAGGCGATCAATGGCTTCCATCGAACAAATCCAAAATGGTTCTCTTGTAACGCATGAATTTGAAAATTCTCAAGTGAAACCAGAAGAAGCAGACGCAGGTTCAGTGAAAATCGCACCAGAGGTTTCGATAGAGAAGCCAAAATGGCCTGGGTGGCCTGGGAGTTGTGTGTTCAGATTGATTGTACCGGTGCTCAAAGTTGGAAGTATTATTGGGCGTAAAGGAGAACTTGTTAAGAAGATGTGTGAGGAAACTGGGGCTAAGATTCGTGTACTTGATGGTCCTCCTTCCTCTCCTGATCGAGTTGTAAGTTTATCCTTTCTTTTGGTTATGAATTCCAATGCGGATGATGCTGTTTTTATACAGATTTTATATGATTCATGTTGATTTTACTGTCAAGGTTTGGATTTTGATGTGATGTTTTGTTTCATCACTGGTTACGGGGAGGAGGGTTCAATTGAACCCCCTTTATAAAAAAGAAATGCGTATGATGCTCTTTTTTATACACATTTCATTTGATTCATGTTGAATTTGCTGTTAAGGTTTGGATTTTGATGTGATGTTTTGTTTTGTTTTACCACTGGTTAGGGGTGAAGGAGGGTTCAATTATCCCCTTCGTCAAAAAGATGTGTATGATGATCTTTTTTTATACACATTTCATATGGTTCATGTTGATTTTGCTTTCAAGGTTTGGATTTTGATGTGCTGTTTTTTCACCACTGGTACGGTGTGGAGGAGTTTGTTAAAAAAATTTACCATGCAAAAACGATGAAAGAGCTTTTGTTTGCATATCAGTCCGAATTTATGTGTCACATTTGGGATTTTGATAATCAACCAAATTCTTCTTTGATCGGAATTTGTTTATATGCCTTTTAAATATTTAAAGTTGTTAATCATTGTATTTATAGTACACTTTACTTAATGTTCACATGTATAAATTTTATTTTAAAAAAATTTACAGCTTTTATGTCCATAATTCGTGGTCAAAGTTTATAAGTTTGAATTTTGAAATTTCAATTGTGCCACGTAAATTGGGACATGGAGAGTATATAAGCTTTTGAATTACCTTGATTAAGGGAAAATTCTAGGGTATGTCAAAGGTGATTCAGAAATTGCTTTCGGTATCACCTATTCAAATTCAAGTTGCAATTTTGTATATGTTTGAATCTCCTTATTAGAACTCCTTGGTCCGCCACTTTCGCTGATATAGTAGTACACTCGTTAAATGAACATCTTAAACTAGTAAATAGGAAGAGAGGAAGTATGACATCAGATTGGAAGTAGCAGTTTACTGTACATCTGGGGGTAAAGTATTGGGAACTTGTATAGTTCAGGGAAGGGTTGGATGAAGAGTAAATTTTTTTTTTTGAACTTGGTAACTTTGTATTATATCACAAAACAGTACATGGGTCGTACTGTAACCTTATATACAAGTGTACTCCTGATTTCACTTCTCTACGTCTAAATTGAGTCTAACACATCAATAATAGAGACAGTGTCATTAGAGTATAACTGATTACACCAAAAGACTAAAAGTAAAATGCAGTTTAGTTTAACTTTCTGCACATTGTTCTCTATGCTCTCAAAACATCTTGAATTCCTTTCTTTCCAAACAGCCCACCAGATAGCCCCCGGGATAATTCTCCATCTACCTCTGTCCTTAGCATGTACACCTGCTTCCTCCCAGCATAGTAATGCCTCAGCCACCTTCCTGGGCATTGTCCAGGAGATGCCTTTGTGGCTTAGGAATATTCTCCACAGATGAAGAGTAAATTTTGCAACCCTAAGATGAAAAGTAGGATTTTTATGACACAATTCTTAAGTTCATACTTCTTGGGTGTATGTCAACTCGTTTCCTTTTCTGACCTTTAAATTGTTTTTATGGCTTAATAAGCATTAAGGGTTTAGGAAGTTTGAGTCTTGTGTGACTTAGAGCCCCACTTATTACACAAGTTACTCTCTCTATATAAATCTTCCTTGTCTTTGTGACATGACTCCTCTGCACAACCCTCCAACCCATGCCCCCACACCTGCCTTCACAAGGAAACAGAGAAAATGCTAGATGTAAGGAATTGGCTCCATTGATCTTTCAATGTTGAAATAATATGGTTTTAGTGATGAAGTTGCATAGGATGTAATGGAGAGAGGACTGAGTACTACATCAATGAGTTACCGGAAATACTTGGCTGAGATTTTTACAACAGCAAGCTAATGGCAGTTTGTGAAAGAAAAATCATCCTATAGAAAGTTTATAAATGAGAAGAAGTTTCTCCAAGGTGTGAGATCTCAGTTTCACTATTAGCTCCACTTTCAGAACTTCATAAAAGCATCCATTTGAAGTGCAATGAATGTGTTTGAAGATAGATGTCAAAACTAATTTGAGGGAAAATTTAAATGGAAAATTGAAATAATGAAAATGCAAAAGAGCAAAAAATTGAGGTGTGGAAAAAGAATTATTGACCTTTTGTGTTTTCTTTCTTTTACTTTAGGGGGCTAGTGGTGTGGAACAATAAGGGGTTGTTTGGTAGCCGGTTACATTTATACAAGTATTAGTAGTATAGGAATTATTGTGAGGGAATGTGTGTATTATTTAATGCAACGATAAGTTATTCATGTATTAGTTATTCCATCTTCTATCTTGCATAAAGTAATACATAGATTCCCTCATAACTTATACACATATTAGTTATGTGATTTCTAAATTGCAAACCAAACACTATAATAGGTGTGTTGAATTACTTAGCTTCTAACTAGCTACCAAATGAATCCTAAGGGGTTGAAGATGTGTGTGAAGACATAGGTTGTAGATATGATAATTAGTGTCCATCCCCTGTAATATGACTAATTGAAAGGGGAAAGGTGATTGCTAATTATTTTCTTTCAAAGTTTGCATTTTATTCGTCATCTCACTTTTAATATGCTTCATTTGCTACCTTTCTTTCCGGGTATCGTTTTTCAATATTTTCTGTTGTGAAGGCTTCCAACCTCCGTATTCTGTTCTGCCCTCTCTTTGAAGAAGTAGTCTTCATGATAGTCCTCATAAACAATGCCACAGGTTCTAATATCAGGGAAAGAAGAACCCGAGGCAGCATTATCCCCTGCTATGGTAGCTGTAATAAGAGTGTTCAAACGTGTCACTGGTCTATCTGAAGGTGAAGATGATGTCAACTTACCTGGAGTTGCTGGGGCTGCATTCTGCTCCATCAGACTACTCGTAGCATCAACACAAGCTGTGAACTTAATAGGAAAGCAAGGGTCTTTAATCAAGCCTATCCAGCAAAATACTGGTGCCTCCATTCGAGTTCTTTCCAATGGTACTTCTTTGCAGTCTTTATTCTATTACTGCTTGAGTTACTAGAATTACTGTTAAATAAGTTACAGGAGTTCACTTTAATCTATATACTCAGATGAGATGTCAATCTATGCGACTTCGGATGAGAGAATTGTGGAAATTCAAGGTGAAGCTCTTAAGGTTCTCAAAGCTTTAGAATCAGTGATTGGGCACCTTAGAAAGTTCTTGGTGGATCAGAGCGTTCTTCCCTTGTTTGAAAAGAATGTAAGCTTATGCCTTTTTCCTTTATCAGTTTGTTATCATATCAATGTTCTTTGATATGCTTATCCTTGTTATACTTGTTCTTTCCGCAGTACAATACACCTTCCGTTCAGGAGCGCGAAACTGAGCCTTGGTCTGAGAGGACAATGCTTAATACCTCACGACCAGGACTTGGTGATTATCCTCCTCGATCAGGACTTGGTGATTATCCTCCTCGATCAGGACTTGGTGATTATCCTCCTCGATCAGGACTTGGTGATTATCCTCCTCGATCAGGACTTGGTGATTATCCTCCTCGATCAGGACTTGGTGATTATCCTCCTCGATCAGGACTTGGTGATTATCCTCCTCGATCAGGACTTGGTGATTATCCTCCTCGATCAGGACTTGGTGATTATCCTCCTCGATCAGGACTTGGTGATTATCCTCCTCGATCAGGACTTGGTGATTATCCTCCTCGATCAGGACTTGGTGATTATCCTCCTCGATCAGGACTTGGTGATTATCCTCCTCGATCAGGACTTGGTGATTATCCTCCTCGATCAGGACTTGGTGATTATCCTCCTCGATCAGGACTTGGTGATTATCCTCCTCGATCAGGACTTGGTGATTATCCTCCTCCAACAAAGAGGGACTCACTGTTTCCCGAACGTGAAAGCCAGCTGGACTCACATTATCATTCTACTGGACTTTCACTGTATGGGCAAGATCTTGGACTTTCTGGAACTCGCACTTCAGGTGTGGGTCGTGCTGGGAATTCTGTTATTACTCAGGTTTGTGTCTTTACCATCTTACTTTACAGTACAGAGCTGTCTTGTATGTTTTTGACCAAAAAGCAACTTCAGTAAGAGGATTTCTCTTCTCATCTATTTTCACATGGTATGAGAGCTTATACAATCTTGATAGACACTTAATTAATATGGTCGGGGGTTTAGACTGTCTGATCCAACAGTTTTCTTTCTTTCCGTGAGTTCTTGTTTCTTACTTCTTTTTGGGTTACTGTTCCTGTGTGTTTGTGGCACCGGCTCTTTAGCAACCTTTCAAACAGAGAAGTTTTCAAAACCTTTTGTCTTCATTTTCTTTGTGGTATTAGAGTAGGGATGTTACTTAGACTCTTACATCAAGTTTCTGTTCCATAAAATCCTACTCTGGTCTTTTCTTAATGGCATCTTGTCCAATTATAAGTACCTCCGTTGACCATTGAATTTTTGCTCACTGTTTCAAGAGGTCTGTTTTTCTTCTTTTTGTCGGGGTATTAAAATCAGGCAGTGAGTCCCTCCTCTGAGCATTGTATTTCCAGTCTTGTTATAGCAACTTTTTATTTCATTTCTGCTTTCAATTCAAGCTAAACTGATGAAGTCCTGGACATTTGCATCCCGTTACTTTTTATATGAGAAGATTTCTGTGTTTATACAAATAAGCACTTGTCTTTTATATTGCGCAATTGCGATGGCTTTCCTGAGAAAAGAATCTTAACATTACCTTTCTTTGCAGCAAATTTTTTAGTATTTCTTGTTCAAAGTAAAAAGAACTCAATTTAACTAATTATCTTTAGTTCGTGTGGAGTGTTGAAAGTGGTTCGAAATATTAAAGTTGTTATTAGAGTCTGGTAGCAAGTCTTCTTATTAGAGTCTAGAGTTCCATTCATTGTTCTCTGCAACTTTGGGTTACTCTTGGAGTGCTACTTTCAAATCCCAGTGGAGGCAAAAATGCTAGGTGCAGTTTAAGATCTCTTGTCTGCAATTCCCTGATAGTTTCAGTTCAAGGCATTCTTATTATAATAGACCTGTATAAGATTAAAGGGACAAGTATGAAGTCAAGTGACGTTGTTAAGTGAGAATACACACTGGTGGTGACTTTTATGTTTTTATTTGGAAGGGGTGAAGTGCTCAAGCGAACTAGATAGATTGGTATAAATTCCATGTTTGCTCTTGAGAAACATTTGCTAACTGTGTACTGTACTATTTTTCTTTGCTAAATCATTCAATCATCACAAGCTGAGTATATGTAGCAGTATGTTATCTTAACTGAGTTTGTAAGTTGTGTGATTAGTTGCATTTGTTTTTTGATCTAAAAAGCCTAGACCTGTAAAATTGCTAATTACACTTCCCCTGTTTCTTATGCTAGTTTTATGTTCTCTGCAATGTAAGAAAAGTTACTCTGTTATGTCATAAACAATATACTTGTTTCTGGCGACCTCATCTTGGTTTCCGTTTCAGATATCCCAAACTGTTCAAATGCAAATACCACTAGCTTATGCAGAAGATATCATTGGCATTGGGGGAGCAAATATTGCTTATATACGCCGTACTAGTGGTGCCGTTCTTACGGTGCAAGAAAGTAGGGGTTTATCTGATGAAATCACGGTGGAAATAAAAGGGATGTCATCACAAGTTCAGACAGCCCAGCAGCTTATCCAGGTAAATCTCAATTTAAAAAAAACATCTAGTTGATATGTAAAGACTCCACATCTGATGCATCTAAAACCTGCGAACTATATGTGATTGAGGAGTTTCCATAGTATTCTTCTGAATTGCAAAACAACTGATGAGTGAATCGTCAATGTAGGAATTCATGAGCAGCCACAAAGAATCACTTCCAAGCAGTTATGGCCAGTTAGATACAGGCTTGAGGCAATCGTCTTACTCTAACCTTGGTGGTGGCTCTTACCCATCATCTTCATACGGCGGACATCATTATGGTGGTGGCTATGGATCATTTGGTGCTGGAGGAGGATACAGTAGCTACAGGTCATGAACAGAATAGCCGGAGTCTTAGCACTCGTACTTCCCTTCCTGTTTGTTATTGTGCATCTGATGCCAGAGCAAACACTGAAGCAACCGCATGTGGTTCATGCTTTGTTAATCTGATATCGCATACAACAATGTATTGATAGCTTTTCCAGTAGCCCACCATAGCTTGTAGTTCTTGCATGTGTATCGATATGATACCATTGAATCTTTCGTTGATTTATTTATACTTTAAGCTTCGTTTTGTAAATGTTGCAACTTGTGACTTGCACAAAAATGATCAGTTGCAATTGCCTCTCCAGAGGGGTGGTAGTTTTTCAGATATTTATGAATGAACCTTGTCAAATTTTGTTGTTTATAGTGCTTCTTTTATGCTATAAGTTTGTCTGTCAAAGGTGGAGAGCATTCTTATCCAACTTCATACTGGGTCTGTGCTAATCTTCTGCATCGAATTCTAGTGGAAACTCACGATTGTTTTGGGGTTGGAAGTGAGTTTATTTTGTGGAAGATAAATGTGGAAAATTCTTTATTTAAAGTAGGGGTGGATCTCTTAGACTTGAGATGAGTGGCGGCAAGTCAAGTGGGTTTTCACTCCTCTACGGTTAAGTCAAGTGGCTTTCCCTCTTTATAGAGTATTTAGATAACACTAGTTTTCATAACAATGCTTAGGCTGGCTGTATAAGTAGTTTAATTGCTTTGACTTCATATTTTTAATTTTTTTTATTATTTCCCTCTAAACTTTACATTAGTATTAGCAACTTTTATGGCCTAATCCCCAATTTGAAATGACTATGCAACTTTTTCAAAGGTATAACGGTGAATTTGCACAAAAAAAAGCCTACTATTTATTTGCTCATTAAGAAATTTAAAATATCACCACGCAAGACTATTTCTTTTTATAAGAAGTCAATAACAATATAAACAGATCACATCTTACCTAGTAAAAAAATAATTTAATGATAAATATTCAAAAATACATATTGCAAGTATATTATGAAAGACCAACAAGGGCAAATCACAAATGGATAGTAAATCACAAAATAAAAAGACAATATTTTTCCGCCTCCTTAAACCTCAGTATTTGATTCAACCCTTCCTAGATTGCGTCAATCCTCAGACAGAAATTTCGTTTATGGTATCCATCTTCTTCATTCCTTCAAATCAATGACAAGTAATTGAATTTGATTCTTGTTTTTTTTTCTATTTCCCTTCACCCATTTACTATCTGCACTCTTTTCACTCACTCTCTTGACTGATTATACTGAATGGTTCTTGGGGTGTTTCAAGATTGTTACTTTTTCACAAATTACATATGCAGGTATAGAAGTATAGGTTCAGATTTGAAAAAGGTATTGAGATAATAGTAAGTTTTTAGTAATCATGTTGCATAATTTTCTGAGTTTGAGGTGGTCTGTAGTTAAGAGCTAGCAGTTGTAGATAATTAAAGTGCTCAATTTCATACCTGTTTGGATTTCTTTAGTTTATTTTTTGATAAAAGATTGCTTTTTTATGACATAGATGTAGTGGAAGCGAAAAACTGGGGAGGGGATATTACAAGGTGAGGAATTGAGTAGCCAACCAACTGAGCATCTAAGATCCTGTATGCATTTTCGTTTTTCGCTCCTAAATGAGGCAAAGAACCTTAATTACGAGGTCTTTGTCAATATTTAAGTCACAATGTCAATATTCAATTAGCTTTTCATCCATTGCTTACAAGTCTTTTGATCTCAAGACTTGCATTGTATCACTTCAATCATGTGGTAATGACAAGGACCTTACAGGAGGGAAACAAGTTCATTGCCACATGCTTAGATGTGGCCATTTGGATTTATCTCCCGTGCCTACCACTAGCCTTATTAACATGTACTCGAAATGCAATTCGATATCCAATGCATTATCTGTATTCTATACTTCACCAATTGACCATAATGTGTTTGCTTATAATGCTATAATAGCAGGGTTAATTGCCAATGATTTGCCTAAAAGTGCTTTTGAATTCTATTTGAAAATGAGGCTAGTTGGTGTCATGCCTGATAAGTTCACTTTTCCTTGTGTGCTTAAGGCTTGTAAAAATGAAGTAGATGTGAAAAGGATTCACGGGTTGGTTTTTAAATTTGGGCTTGAAGTTGATTTGTTCATCGGAAGTGCTTTGTTGCACAGTTATCTAATGTATAGGATGGTGGATTTTGCGTTAGATGTGTTTGAGGATTTGCCGGAGAGGGAAGATGTTGTGCTTTGGAATGCCATGATCAATGGATATGCTCAAACTGGAGAGTTTGGTAGTGCTTTGATGGTTTTTAGGTGGATGATTGAGGATGGGGTTATTCCCAACAAGTTTAGCATAACAGGTGTACTTTCAGCTCTGGCAAATTATGGGGAAGTTTATAATGGAAAGGTGATACATGGGCTTGTGATAAAAAAGGGTTTTGATTTGGGGGTTGCCATTTCTAATGCATTAATAGACATGTATGGTAAATGTAGCTGTGTTGCTGACGCTTTAGAGGTTTTCCAGACAATGGATGATAAGGATATATTTTCATGGAACTCAATAATTTGTGTGCATGAACAATGTGGTAATCATGAGGGAACTTTGAGGCTTTTCAAAAGGATGTTGTCTGCTAGAGTTCGTCCTGATTTGGTGACTGTCACCACTACACTTCCTGCCTGTGCTCATTTAGCAGCGTTGAGGCATGGTAGAGAGATTCATGGATACATGATTGTTAATGGTCTGAGGAAAGATACAGCTGACAAAGAATATGATGATACTTACATTGACAATGCAATTTTGGACATGTATGCCAAATGTGGAAGCATGCGTGAAGCTAAGCTGATCTTTGATATGATGAATTTCAAAGATGTGGCGTCGTGGAATATTATGATTAAGGGGTATGGCATGCATGGATTTGGCATCAAGGCATTAGAATTGTTTTCTGATATGTGTAAGGCAGAATTGAGGCCTGATGATGTCACATTTGTTGGGGTTTTGTCAGCTTGCAGCCATTCAGGGCTTGTAAAACAGGGGAGAGAATTTCTTGCCCATATGCAGCCGAAGTATGGTGTTGTGCCTTCTATTGAACATTACACCTCTGTGATTGACATGCTAGGTCGTGCTGGGCAGCTTGAAGCTGCTTATGAGTTATTATTAACAATGCCCATTAAGACCAATTCTGTTGTATGGAGAGCGTTCTTGGCTGCCTGCCGTCTACATGGTAATGATGATCTTGCTAAGGTTGCTGCAAAACAGGTACTTGATCTTGAACCAGATCATTGTGGAAGTTATGTCATATTATCAAATGTTTATGGACAGACTGGTCGCTATGAAGAGGTATTAGAGATAAGAGATGCAATGAAGCTACAAAATGTAAGGAAGACACCTGGTTGTAGCTGGATTGAACTTCATAATGGTGTCCATGTCTTTATTATTGCTGATAAATCACATCCTGAAGCCAACCTTATTTATGCTGGATTGAATTCTTTGACAGCGCGATTGTGTGAGCATGGTTATACACCAGAATCTGATGCCTTGGAAAGCAGTCCATGATAATCCAGACTTATTCTCCGTTGTTCTAGATGAAGATTCCTGAAGCACTGACTGAAAGAAGGTTCTTACAATATCTATTTGGGAAACCTAGCAAGTGTGTGAGTTCATTTTGCCTCTCATGGAATCCAATGTCTATGTATGCTGGTGCTTCGAAAATAGCCCGAGTTATCTGTGTGCTTTTGCAGATAAACTTTCTATTGAAAAATGAAAAGTATGTTTTCTTCACTTTTGGAGCATATCATTTTGCAGCATCTGCTATAACCAAGGGGATATTTAGTGCAACTAAGGACTATGCTTCTCCTTTTGATGTTGACAGTCATTGAATGTAAGTGTTCTCTATCATATGGGCATTTCCACTGCAGTTTTTTTGTAGGCTTATTTAGTATTCAGAACTTGCACACTGAATGTTGTTACTCTTTATCATAATCAATATGTTTCTTCATTTCTTCTGAAGTATAATTTTTAGCGATCTACCTACTGTATATATGAATTCTGGTCATCAAACTTCTTTGTAAGTTTTGAAAATGGTGAAGGAAAGGCTGAGGTATTCTGGGAAAACGCCATTAACTTTTATTTTGCTGGCAAAAGCCGGATATTTAAGTTGAGAAGGATAGAAGGGAGGGCTCATTATTCACCGAGTGTTGAATCATGCGTCACTGGCCCTCGGGGATTTCTGGCTGTAAAAAAAATTGAAAATGTTGAAGGAAATGCTGAAGTATAGGTTCTGTGAAAATTGCCAGCATTCTGGTCGGCTATAGCTTGTTTTATTTTCCAGATTTTCAAATACTAAATAGTGACAATATAAATCATTTGTTTCTCTGCATCCTACCAACTTTGATATTTTATTAACCTTACCTTGCTGAATGTGAAGCTACAGTAGGTTCCTAAGAAAGCCTGCATTAGGCATTCTATAAAGCAGTTGATATGTCTCTCCTTTAGGTTTAAATTTTGGTTCTTTTGCTTAAACCTGTAAAATAATCTCTTAGCCAAAGTTAAAATAGTGATAAACTGCTACTATGGAACAACAGGAACTTCATGGAGACCATTCCTAAACAGGCATCATGAATTATACAGAAGATCATGAAGGCATGCATCTAGGTATTTCACAGAAGCAGGACATGAACTAACTGATATTTATAACATGAACCAGTTCCCAACAAGATGGTTCTATCAGAAGATTAGAGGAGAGTTTCCAAAGGTGGAATGGCAGGAACTGCTATGCAATAACCTTGGAATTCCTAACTGGTCATGGAAGATGATTTGGAAAACCAGATCACCTATGAAAGCAGCTTTTTTGGTTGGCTAGCAGCTAGGGATGCTTGCCAAGCACAACACAAGTTACAAAGGAGAGGGTTTTCCTTGTGCAGTAGCTGATATTTCTGCAATTCAGAGGAGGAAACAGTTGAACATCTTTTCTTGCATTGCAGATTTCAAGACAATGTTGGGAACTTTTCTTTAACATAATGGGCATATCTTTGGTGTCACCAGAGAAAATTAGTAGCTTGTTGGAAGTGTGGCGATTTGTTTGAGGATGTCTGAGGTGGTGCTGATCTGTTTACTGACCTCTCTCACTAAGGAAAGGGTAATTTGCGCAATTTATATAGTGCCTAAAATTTTTACCTGTCTTGAGGATGCCTTGGTATAATTAGCTATTATCTACCTTTAATTAGCATCATAATAATGAGGTTTTAAGTACCATTTTTATGTGTGCACAAACAGGCTCAGACAGGAGGAAACGACCATCATTATTAAAATGTACTGTTTGTTATGTCGTTACTAAAAAATAAAATAAAATTAACAACCCAAGCTTTTGTTGCTGAAACAATGAATTTGAATTCTTCTATCTTCCAGGTGCTTCCAGGTGCTCACAACTGTTTATGGAATACATATTAACATACTGTTGTGTAATGCCGCTTCATCTATCCTTAAAAATATATTGTGTTTAAGAAAGTTGTTTATATTGAAATTCATCTGATCCTTTAATGTGGATGTAGAATTCCAGTCATTCCGATTAAACTCCATTGAGGCTTTGCGTTGCATTATTTATTTATTTGTTTCTAACTCTAGCATTCTTTATTTTATGTCTTATCTAAGGAGCTCTAAGATTTTACTACTTTGGCTAATGCAGGTGTGAGTCCAGAAGATTGTTCCTACACGATACAAGCTCTCATTTTTTTCTCCTAGAAGGTTACAGACTTGCAGCAGTGTTTTTCCCTTCCATTTGTGCTCAGGGGCCAGTGCTCTAAGTTTAAATATTGCTTCAATTATCTGGCAGCGTTTGGCAGTAGATGCTTAAAATTATTTTGAAGTCTTATGGAACATAATATCGGCTAATCTTGATGAAGCACAAGGTACTCTCCCTCTTAATTTGTTTGTGCACTCTTGCCTACAAATTTGACCAATTGTTGGCGATAAATCAGACTAAATTAAATTTATTTTGTCAGAGAAAGCAGAAATGACCAGAAACTGCACTAAAACTCGTGGAATTAGACTAGGTGCTTGCAAGCTGGCCCAAATACCGTGGTTATTTAAAAGAATAGTTTTCAAATTTTGTTTGGTTTGAATCTCAGGAAGCAAAAGTGATAAATATTTAAGAACAGATAAGAGTCCCCTACTAGAAGTGAAGAAAAGAAAGAAGGAAAAAGGTGTAAGAAATAAGAAGTAGCATTTATATTTAGATGGTTGGGGCAAATGTTTAAGATTTTGATGGGGACTTAATAAGCAATGTAGCATAAATTTACCTAAGACTCGCATGCTTTGGTTGGTATTTTTTTCATAGGCAGATGTATTGTCCAGAAAAATAATATGCCTTTTGTTTTGCGTTGTTGCAGGGCATCTAACAATTCTTCATAGCCGTAGAGAGTGTCGTATGATACTCTCTCATCAACTTGGCTATTATTTTCTTCTAAACAACCTGGTTTGGGCCTACTACTCTCAGAGAAAGAAAGCTCGCTTTCACCAAGTCACAGCCAAGACAAGCTATGGTTCTCGGAGGAGCCTTCAGTTCGATGCTCATCAGAGTAAGTAGGAACAATAAGTGGTTTTCTTTTGGCACGTTCAGTTTGAGCATAGCAACATGTGGTTGTTTTGTTGTGTTTTTGCCAGAAACAAATGGCAGAACATTTATTTAGTGATACACAATGGATGAAGAGGAGAACAAAGTCAAAACATTTGTCTGTTGTATTGTTTCTGGTTTCTGAGTAAATTTGGCCATTTCAAGTTTACTTACTTATTGATGTTATAGTTGTGTGTTTCAATGACTGAACTGGATTGGTGTCTTTGTCATTTAATTTAGTATCCAAATCGGTGGTAGGTATCCCGTGGAATTCAATTCATATATTATAGAACTATATTAAATTAATACTTGAAAAAAATAGTTTGATAGGAAAATCACTTTATGAAAAAGTTTAAAGTTAAATGTTTAATTTACTAATTTGAATTCTTGAATGTCGTAATAGTATACACGAAATTTGGAACAAGCAAGTACTTCGCCACTTTTAATTGTCATGGTTTTCTTTTTTAGAGTCAAACTATAAGAACTTTAACTAGCATTTTATGATGCATTTTTTCATTGTATTGATATGCAAAAAAATTCAACTTACAGTACTTTTTGTATAGTTTTTAAATATCTAAATTTTTTGTTTAAAATATCAAATTAATATAATCTAATTTAACTTTGAAAATTAGCCAAATTGACTTTTGAAAAGTGCAACAAGACAATTAAAAGTGGACGGAGAGACTAACACCTTAGTTAGATTTTCTATACTTAAATTGCAGAACATTTATATATAATTTGTCCCAATTTTTTTTGTTGATTCTATTTGAGAAACAAATTATTTACTTTTTGTCTTGGAAAAATAATTAAGAGTCACCAACATTTTATCTCAGCTTTATTTTGTTGATAATTCGCATTACACAAATGCGTTTTATTCATTAGTGATCTTCAATGCATTTCCTTGTATTCCCTCTGAGGGCCTAGTTGAAAAGCCACGTAGTAATTGGATTTGGTGTAATTGCGTGTAATTATACTATCTGATGTGTTTGTTTGGTCATGTAATTACTTGGTTAACACATAATTGAGTGTAGTTGGACAATTACGCTCTCCATTTCTTAGGAAGGGGCCGTGAACTGCAGGTAATAGTATGACGTAATTACAAGCTGCTTATTTTTTCATTTCTTCTTTTTATTTCTATTTTTATTTTTTTGTTTTAAAATTTATTTTTTCTTTCTATTGTTTTAACTTCTTTTTTATTTTATTATTCTAAAAATTTCTATTCTTTTAAAAAATTTATTATTTATATTTAATTTCCTTCTCATTCTCAACCTTTACAACATGTGATTCCATGCAATTTTTGTGTTTTCTATTTTTTTGTCATGTTCATTTTTTTCATTAGCATAATTTTGTTAGTATCCTAATTTTTAAACTAAAATAGAATTTATCATTGAGAAAGGTTATAGACTTACGTTTTTTTAATTAAAAAAAATCATATTTATGTATGATATGTTTAAATTTGACATAAGGGTATTATGTTAGATTTTTTGTTTTGAATTTAGAACGTACGTTATATTTTCAGTTTGATTTGTTTTTTAGTTAGACTTGATACATTATCTTTTTGTTAAATATTTTAATAATTTATGACATTTTATTTATAATATTAATCTTTTTGTCAAACATGCATTTCATAATGCTCATAGAAATCTTGCACTTTTAGTTTTTACTAGTTTTTTGACACGTGCATTGCATATGATTACTAATTCAGAAAATATATGTTATAGTAAATAGTATTGTTTATTTAGGCGAAGATTTTAATACTAAGCTTAGCACAAAATAATATTGGAGATTATTTTGTGAATGTTCAATGTGGATCGTCATATATATCTCTGATTCAGCAAACCTATGAAGATCGTCAATGAAAAATTTTATTAGTTAAATGCAATAATTTATATATTTATTTCAATTTGATGAAGTTCAATCGTGTAATTATTCATATCTCATTAATATTACCTTATACACGATATTTGTTGTTTATTTTTCTTGTTATCTAACCAGATGTTTCCACGTGTATTCCACGTTAAACTGTTTAGATGTCATATGAACATGTGATGAGAACAACTACATTTTATAAGTTATCACATAATAGATGATGTATTGTCGTTGGCTCTCATACTTGATTTCTCGATTGACTGTGTACATAAATCAAAGAAAGTTATCTTACTGTCCATAGTTAACAAGAAAGGTTTTCTTTTTCTTTTTTTTACCTGAAAAAACTAAAAATTAAAATTAAAGAATATATTTTATGTGTGAATTCATATATGTAATTGCATGTTCATCTTACATCCAAAAAAGATATAATTCATATACTGATAAATTATTTCAATTTATTCAACCAAGTTTGATTCATCAAAGGAAAAATTACAATACCATGTTATCACATATATATGAGCGGTGTAATAATATGAAAAATTATTGGTCAAAAGTTAATATAATGAAAGATGAAAGATAGAAATTAATGTAATAACTATGGAATTCATAATATTATACCTAAGAATGTAAAAGAATTAATGTGCAATAGTTGAATTTCTATTAAATTTTAAACGTACATAAATAAATAGGACTTTTAATTAATGTTATTATTTTTTTAGTTATTAGATTTTAATTTAGTTTAGGAAAAAATGTAAATATTTATTCCATATTACTGAATCTAAAATTTATTTTTTAAATGATAGAAATTATTGTTGTGAGTGTTTTTTTTTAAAAAAAATAACTTGAAACATTTTAAAATAATATATTTTGAACTTAGAAAATCTTGTTAACTTGATACTACATTTGTGACATATATAATACTTTAATTTAAGAACAAATACCTACCCAAATGTAAATATATATTTTCATTAATGAAAATATTTATCTCATAAAAATTAGCTATTAAATAAATAATAAAAATTAAACTAATACAAACTTCTACTTGCATTACAAGTCATATGAATTTCTCTTCGTCTAAAATACTTAAATATCAAGAAATAGTAAATAAGTAAAACAAAAGGGCAATGTTTA